TTTATATAAAACAAAATCTTGAGAAAAATATAATTCCTTGTTTAGAACTTCACCTTTTAAGGTACTTCTTGGGCTTTGGTTTCATGTTGACCGGCAGACACATTTCTATAACTTCTGTAAGTAACATTCTTCAAAATATAAAGAAAATAATAAGCAGTCTCAGTAGCACTAGCACTATTCATAATGGCAATAGAAATAGTAGCTATCATCTTATAAAAGATACTTTTACTTAGTACTTCATTTCTATTAGCTCATTCTGTCAGCATAATAACTTTTTGAAGTAGGTTTAATACAAAGTTTATTTTACAAAGGAGGAAACAGAGGGTTAATGCGATTTGTGACTTGGTTTAATGTAAACTATTATGTAGACTCTTAATAATTGCAAAATTTATCCATAGATACTAAACACCAAAAAATAATAAATATTCAATACTCCCTTCTCTCTAAGGTTATTAAGAATGAGATTCTATAACTTCTTTGTCCACAAACTGAATCCAGTGGAAAGAATAATATTAAATGTCAAAGTATTTTCTCTTAGAAATTTTAAAAATCTGAACAATTGCTAACATAATTATTCATCAAAATAAATATTAAAGGTAGATAAAATCATATTTCTATAAAACTATTTATAAAATTTCAGGCACTGATCTTAAATTAGTATTTTGTTGTTTCAAGGGCACAGAATATTCATAAAAATTCAGACATAGGACAGGATTCTGAAACAGTCACACTCTCAAGAGCATAACTAGCCCTCTTTGAATGTGCATAATTATAAACATATTGCCTTAATCTTGACACTCTTTAGATTCTTTAAAGAAAGCATCAAATTTTTTGCAGTTCTAAGATTGGGATATTGGTCAGCATTAGATTTGACCTTACAAAGAGCAGATTATATCAGATCAATTGTATTATCTTCTGTGATAAAAGAATAGTCCTCAAAGGAAAAAAAATGATAGAATTTCATTTACTGCACCTGAGTTAGATTTCTATTTTCAACATATAATCTGATTAGCAGCTAAGTACAAATGTTTATGGATCATCCTCCAAAGAATCCTTATAGAAGTTCTATGGAGGTTTCCCTAGAAGCTGTCTTAGGAATTGGGCATGCAGGCAACTGGGCCCCTGGACTTTCCTTCATGGTTTCAAGTACAGCAGCTCTTTTTTGTATGTTTTATTTATTTATTTATCTATTTATTTATTTATTCTGGCCATAAAGTGTGTTTAAAGAAGAATAGCTCTACCTCAAAATTCAGAAAACATTCTTACAAGCCATACACCTACCAGTATATTCTCAGTTGGATGGAACATCAGTTTCTAAGGTCTCTTAAGACTAAAGTCCTTAACTGGAGCTATCTAGCAGAGATTACAAAGCAGATAAAGAACTAGTATAATTCAATATTTTGTTTAGTAATCTAGAGGAAGGAACTGAGATTATAATTTCATGTTTCTAATTAATGCTAATTTAGATACAGTCACAACCATGTGGCTAACAGACACATGAAAAAATGTTCAACATCACTAGCCATCAGGGAAATACAAATCAAAAACCACAAAGAGATATCACCTTACTCCAGTTAGAATGGCCAAAATTAACAAGACAGGAAACAACAAGTGTTGGCGAGGTTATGGAGAAAGGGGAACCCTCTTACACTGTTGGCGGGAATGTAAGCTGGTACAGCCACTCTGGAAAACAGTATGGATGTTCCACAAGATGTTAAAAATAGAGCTACTATGGGCACCTGGGTGGCTCAGTGGGTTAAAGCCTCTGCCTTCAGCTCAGGTCATGGTCCCAGGGTCCTGGGTTAGAGCCCCGCATCGGGCTCTCTGCTCAGCAGGGAGCCTGCTTCCTCCTCTCTCTCTGCCTGCCTCTCTGCCTACTTGTGATCTCTGTCTGTCAAATAAATAAATAAAATCTTTAAAAAAAAAATAGAGCTACTCTATGACCCAGCAATTGTGCTACTACATATTTACAAAGATACAGATGTAGTAAAAAGAAGGGGCACATGCACCCCAATGTTCATAGCAGCAATGTCTACAATAGCCAAATTGTGGAAGGAACCAAGATGCCCTTCAACAGATGAATGAATAAAGATGTGCTTCATATATATAATGGAATATTATTGGGTCATCAGAAAGGATGAGTACCCACCATCTTCATTGACGTAGACAGACCTGGAGAGGATTATGTTAATGGAAATAAGCCAAGCAGAGAAAGAAAATTATATGGTTTCACTCATATGTAGAACATAAGGAATAGAGCAGAGGACCACAGGGGAAGGGAGGGAAAACTGAATGAAGAAATCAGAGAGGAATACAAACCACAAGGGATTCTGGACTCTGGGAAACAAACTGAAGGTTACAGAAGGGAGGGGAGTAGTGCAATGGAGTAATCAGGTGATGGGTATTAAGAAGGGCACATGTTGGGATGAGCACTGGGTATTATAGGTAACTAATGAATCGTGAAAACTACTTCAAAAACATGATATACTACATGCTGGCTAACTGAACATAATAAAATAAATGAATAAATAAATAAAAGCAACCTGATAAATTGTACAAAAAATCATTTAGAAATATAATAAAGTTTAATATGATAAGGCTTTATGGCCAAGAGCAAACCTATCAAATAAAAATGGAGTATATACGGCAACAGCAGGGTAAAAATAAAAATAAAAGGAAATCATTGTCTATCCAACAATCTTGCTGTTTAAGAGGGAAAAAAATAAGTTCACAGCAGTTGGCTGTGTTATTGGCAATAACATAAGAACAACTTTTCCACTTTATTTGACTTTGGACAGGTCCTAATTAGATATGCTTTTTGATAGTCTCATTTGAGAATTTTGTTGAAAAGTTAAATAAGGACTAGCAAAGAACACAAAATACTAAATTATTCCTATGAGGAAAAGTTAAAAGAAATTAAAGTATGTACCTTGAAGAAGAGATGACTATAGGGAAATATTACTGCCCTCTAAGGCTATTAAATAATTATAATAAATTGTTCTCTTGCCCTACAGAGGATTGCTGGATATGAGAGATATATAGAAATACGGCAACATAATTTGATTTGCTATAAGTAAGCTATTTTGATAATAAGGAAACTTTTAAATAATAAAATGTACAAATTGGACAAACTAAGACTTTTTTTCATCCATAGATAGCTTTTTCAGGGGAGGAAAAAAAAAAAGCATTTTCTACCCTGGTTCACCTATGCTATTTCACTGGTTTAATCTTATCACATATCTACCCAGGGATACTGGAAATGCAGGTGTTTTACTCTGGAAGGTCTATTTCCTGAAATTCATGTGTCTTCTCACTCAATGTTTCTCTCCTGGTTCTACCTATCTTTTCAGTTTTGGATTATTACCAGTCTGCTAGTCCACTAGTCCACATGGGTAAGGTTTAAAATCCTTTTTAGAGTAAGAAAATATTTGAAAAAATACTTTGCAGCTCAGACATAATACTTGTACAGTGCCACAGCACTCGATTCCATATGAACAAATACTTCCTGGATGTTTGCAAATACATATATGAAGTTTCTCTTTCATGTATTATTGGCTTCCTTTCAGGTTTTGCCATGCTCTGAAATGCTAGATCCTATATATTGACAACTTTAACTTTTCTTTTAGAACTTCTTTCATATGCATCCATTGGCCCTGCCAGTGTCTTCAACTTTCATTGGCACTTTTCCTTACAAGATCCTCAAATGACTCCATTTTTATGTACTGCTCTGTGTACCTTAACTATGACATTTAAGCCCATCAGATATGATTGGTGCTCTGACCATATATCTTCAGAACTTATAGTTCCATCTTTATAGTTTCATTAACAGTTAAATGTAGAGACTTTCAAATTAAACTTTATTCATACTTAACAAATTACACTCACCATTCCTACTGAATTTTCTTACTGCAAGCACATGCCACTCTCCCTGAGGGTTGCTTTTTTTGGTTACAAGAGTTTGACTGATCCACACAGGAGACTTTAGTAACACCTCTGAGGCAGGGTAGTCTTTAATCAAGGATGAATAGGTAGATAAATTGGGTTTTGTTCACCTCAGGTAAGATAATCGTGAGGTGTATTCTATAGTGTCACCTAGATTTCCCAGCAGGATTAAGCCCTAGCTTCCAGTAGTGATGCATGATAACATCTTACTGGCTTACTTCCCCTCCCTGCCTCACTTTTACTGTCTTAATTTTTCCTAAATAGACTACTAGTCCCCCTAAAAAGACTAATGGTAACACAAATCCTTACCTCAAGATCTGCCTTCAGGTGAACCTATTCTACGATAAAATATCCCCATATCTTTTCATGGGCATTTTCCAGAAAACTTCCACTGTTTTTCAAATAAAATTTGAATAAACACCCCACATTAATATTTGAGTTGAAAGAAATAACCCTGGGGTCTGTGTTTGCACAGACCACAATAAATGTCTCACTTTCACCCTTAAGAAGGCTGCATTTATTCCCCCAAACGGACAATTCACAGACTGGGGCAGTTCAAGTGTTTGTTGTTCCTGTCAGCTCCAAGTGTGATTTCTTAAAGAACAGTCATTCTGTGAGTCTCTAATCCAGTATGAGAGGGTTTGACCGTAGAAACACCCTATTTTAGACACACTTTTTTACTGATTTCAATACAGTGATGAGAAAGATGCTTTCCTTTCCATTCAAGAAAAGAAATCAAATTACTTTATGTATTTTCCTTTGGCTCCTGATCATGCTATGTGACACTTCAGTGAATTCTGCACACAAGGAAGCCTATCATTTCTGCACACACAGCAGTTAAATGTGCTCATTTGCATAAGTTATAACCAAATACATAAGTGAAAGTGTTGTTTGTGACAGTAGATTTCACTTCAGAGATACATACGAATTTCTAAAGTTCTAATAGATTTCAGCATTGACATTATGAAATAGAAATAAAATATTTCTTGCAATCATTCCAAGCATTCCAGATGGTGAGGAGCATTGTGATAATTCAATGGAAAGCAAAGCAAACTTACCCGAATCATCATGACCGAACATCTGATATCATGAATTGTGTCATAGATCTTCTTTGAGATGTCCACAAATTGATCATCATCAAATACATCCAAAGAGTTTTTATTTAAGGCTTCTAAGGCAACATCCACTTGTGTTACAAACTCAGGTATTGCTGTTAAAATTAATAAGAAAGAAAAGATTGTCTCATTTGTATTTTCTGATTTCTGGAGTTTCATAAAAATATGAGACATATTTTAAATAAATATTTGGTTAATAGGATTTTAATATTTTTTTCATGTAAAGAAACAAAATATTTTGGCAGGCAATTTTGGATCTCTGAAAAGTGAAGGGAAACAAAGACAATAAAATATATATTGTATAGAAATGTTTCAAAAGATTATCTTTCTCCTTCATGTCACTTTCATTTCCACTAAAGCTAGAACCATATAATAATTTCTCATCCTATTCAATATAAGCCCCAAGAAATTACCAAAAAGAATTGGTGTGTTAACAACTGAAATTATAAACATAAAGATATTTAAAGAAAGAAAGCATTTGAGTTGCTAAATATAAGAAATTTAATTAAAGGTAACAACTCTATCTCAGAGATATAACAGAAACATCATAAACTGTCTTTCATTAAGATGTTTTCCCTAACATCAAAGAGATTAATGGAGAAAGGGGGTTCCAAGATGGTGGTGTAGGAAGACTCTGAATTCATTTCCTATCATGGACACACCATGATAGCTATATGTGGAGCAATTCTGTAACTATATGTGGAGTAATTCCCACTGAAAAAGAACTGAAAACTAGCTAAACAGCTCTTTCCACAGCAAGGGATAAAAGGACTACATCAAGACAGGTAGGAAAGGCATTCTCCCCCAAATCCTACCCACACAATAGGGAGGAAATTTCATGGGTCCAGAGCTTCTCCCTAAGGAGTGAGGAGTTTGGGTTCCTTGTCAGGCATCCTAATCTTTAGGATCTGCTCCAGAGAGATGAAGCCCCCAAAACATCTTGCGCTAGAAACCAACGGTGCTTATATCTGGGGAACCCAGGGAATTGCAGAATATCAGATACTACTTTTGAGGGCTAGCACATAGAGTCACTCATCCCAGGACACAGTGCAAAGGCTGAAGTTTGAGAGGTGCTGAAAGATGAGTGAAGGAGATTTATTTGCTAATCTTATAACATTTGCCAGAGGCACAGGAACAGGTTGGGATGTTCTTTGGAGGTGGAGGTGATGATAATACCATATTTATATTCTCCTTCTAACTTGCTAGCCCCGGTGGGTGTGGGTAAACACAGCCTCACTAAAGCCAAGTGTGTGCCCACCCAGGCACTCTTCTCAGATATTGCTAACCCTGCAGACATACACTGTCCCCAGAATATTTTCCTGGTCTCACTAAAGCCATGGGCTCTGCATCCTTCTTTGGCCCCACCAAAGTTTATAGATACCTCCAGAAAGGAGCTTATACACTCATCTCAACATGTCATTATAACCATCAACCAGGGGACACTCTAGATCCCCTAGCCTGGAAGTCACTGGGTATACAACTGTGATCCCAAGGACTATATATATTTACATACATTAAATGCTGCTGCCTAAAGACTTGGCTTCTAAGCAGCTGAAAGTAGGCGCTGACTGAGATCACTCTCTTTGGTACACTGACAGGTCTTGATACATCCTCAATAATTGTAATCTATCAAGAATAAATAAGCCAAAACAAAACCACCACCACCAAAAAAGCCAGGTTACTTAGACAATCACAAAGGTTCAAAAGACAGCCAAAGCCTGGGCAATGTTGAGCTCCAACACAAAGCTACTCCTTAAATACTGAGAAAAGTCGGTGTTTCATATAATACCTAGAAACAAACACAAAGTTGAAGGAAAGTGGGGAAATTGAGGAATATGTTCTAAAAAAACAAAACAAAAACAAAAACAAAACAAACAAACAAACATTCAGAAAAAGACCTTAATTGAACAGAGATAAATTATCTATCGGATAAAGAGTTCAAAGTAATGATCATAAAGATGCTCACCAAACTCATAAAGATAAAGAAGAATTAATGAACATGGTAAAAACTTCCAAAAGACATAGAAAATGTAAGACTGTATCAAACAGTGATCAGAGAGCTGAAAAATGTAGTAATTGTACTGAAAGAATATAACAGAAGAATTCAGCAGTAGACTAGAAGAAGGACAAGAGTAGATCACTAATCTGAAAGATGGGGCAGTAGAACTCACCTTAAGAATGCAGAAACAAACAAATAAATAAATAAATAAATGAAAATACCTTAAGAGACCTATGAGACAATATCAAACAGAATAATATTTGCATTACAGAGGTGCCAGAAGGAAAAAAGAGAGAAAAGGAAAGAAAATGAGTTTGAAGAAATAATGTCTAAAAACTTACAATCTTAGGGAAGGAAAGAGATATCTAGGTCCAGGAAACACAAAGAATTCTGAAGAAGACAAATCCAAAGGTATCAACAAGAAGATACATAATAAGTAAAATGTCAGAAATTAAAGATTAAGAAAGAATCTTAAAAACAGCAAAAGAAAAACAACTTATTATATGCAAGGGAATCCCCATATGACTATCAACTGTTTTTTTGTTGTTGTTGTTGTTGTTTTGTTTTGTTTTGTTTTGTTTTCAGCAGAAACATTGCAGTCCAGAAGGAAATAGAAATATATATTCAAAGTGCTGAAAGGGAAAAAACTTCTCACCAAGAATATTCTACCCAGCAAGGCTTTTGTTCAGAATTGATGGATAGATAAAAGAGTTTTCCAGGTGGGCAAAAGCTAAAGGATTCACCAACATCAAACCAGCATTTTAAGAGATGTTAAAGGGACTTCTTGAAAAGAAGAAAAAAAAGAAAAAGAAAAGATAAAGAGAGAAAAGAAAAGAAAAGAAAAGAAAAGAAAAGAAAAAAGTAAGGTCACTAACTAATTACAAGAAAACATATGAAAGTAAAAATCTCACTGGTAAAGGTAAATATTATAGTAAAGGTAGTAAATCAACCACTTATAAAGCTAGTGTGAAAGTTAAAAGACAAAAGCAGTAAAATTAATCACATAGTAATTAAGGGGATTACAAAATTTTAAAAATGTAAAATACAACATCAAAAACACAATGTTTTTGTGGGAGAAGTAAAATTACAGAGGTTTAAAAAGCATTCAACTTTCTTTTTTTTTTTTTTTTCAAGAAACAGATTTTTTTTTTTTTTTTTTTAAACAGATTTTTTTTTTTTTTTTTGTAAACAGATTTTATTTATTTATTTGACAGAGAGATCACAAGTAGGTAGAGAGGCAGGCAGAGAGAGAGAGAGGAGGAAGTAGGCTCCCTGCTGAGCAGAGAGCCTGATGCGGGACTCGATCCCAGGACCCTGAGATCATGACTTGAGCCAAAGGCAGAGGCTTAACCCACTGAGCCACCCAAGTGCCCTAAAATGCATTCAACTTTCAATCAATTTAAAATATGTGAACCTTATGGTAACCTCAGAGCAGAAACGTATATTATCTACATTAAAGATAAAGATTAAGGAATGTAAACAAAACAAAAAAGAAAGTCATCAAACCACAAGGGAAGAGAACAAGAAAGGAATGGAGAGGAACTACAAAAACAGCCATAAAACAATTAACCACATGGCAATAAGTACATAGTTGTGAATAATTACATTAAATGGTAATGAGGTAAATTCCCCAAACAGTGGCTAAATGGATAAAAAAGCAATACATCTGTATGTGACCTACAAGACACTAAATACAAACCAGAGAAACAGAGTAAAAGTGAAGAGATGGAAAAAGTATTCCATGCAAATGGAAACAAAAAGAAAGCTGATGTAGCTGTACTTTTATCAGACAAAACAGACTTCAAAACAAGGAGTGTAACAGAAGACAAGAAAAAAAAAAAAGTTACATAAAGATGAAGAAGTAGGGGCACCTGGGTGGCTCAGTGGGTTAAGCCTTTGCCTTCGGCTCAAGTCATGATCTCAGGGTCCTGGGATCAAGCACCATTTCAGGCTCTCTGCTCAGCGGGGAGCCTGCTTCCTCCTTTCTCTGCTTGCCTCTCTGCCTACTTGTGACTTCTCTTTCTCTCTGTCAAATAAATAAATAAAAACTTAAAAAAAAAAAAAAGACAAGACAATCCAACAAGAGGATATAACATTTGTAAATATTTATACACCAACACAGGAACATCTAAAAATATAAAGCAAATATAAACAAACTTAAAGGAAACATTGACAGCACTACATTAATGTAAGGGACTTTAATAGCCCCACTTATATCAACAGACAAATCATCCAGACCAAAAAATCTATTAAAAAAAAAAAAAAAAACTTTAAAAAACACATTAGACCAGGTGGACCTAATAGATGTATACAGAACATTCCATCCAGTAGTAGAACATATTTATTTTTCTGGTGTGCACATGGAATGATAGATCACATGATAGGCAACAAAACAAGTTTCAACAAAATTAAGAAGAATTAGGGGAGAGGGAAAAGATGGTGGAGGAGTAGGAGACCAAAATATTATCAGGAGTTCAGCTAGATAGTTATCAAACCATTCTGAACACCTATAAACTCAAAAGGAGATAGAAAAGAAGAAGAGCAGAAATTCTAAGGAGAGAAAATTGACCACTTTCCAGAAAACAGAACTTGCAGAGAAGTGAATCTGAGGTGACAGGAAGATAGACCATGGGGGGAGGAGGTGGCTCCCGGCAAGTGAGAGAGTGGCAGAGCACAAAACAGGAATTTTTGGAAGTCTGCTCCACTGAGGGACGTCACTCCAGAGGCTAAGCAGGGAGTGGAGCCCTCGCAGGGATGGTGTGGTCTCAGGACCCACAGGGATACAAAAAGATTAGGGGTGCCTGAGTGTGGCAGAGCGGCCAGGTATCAGATAGGGGAAGCCAGCTACAGAGACAGAGCCAAGAAGTGGGTTGTCAGCTCGGGGTTACCTTAAACCATGATCCAAGGCACAATGGGGCCCCTGCTCTTTGAGCAGGGACCCCACAAGTGGCAGATCCAGAGAGATTCCCCTTTTTCTCCTCCAGGAGGTGTGGCACGGCAGCACAGGGCAGGAATCTGCTGGGTTTGGAGACTCCAAATGGACTATGTTCAAGAGATAGAAATGCTGGGTCATAGGCCAGGTGAGCACAGAGTGTG